GCCTAGGCAGGATAGTCCGTGAGACTCTATCTTAAATAAACTACTCAGAAAACTGAAGGTTGGCACAGTGTCTCAAGTGGTAGAGCATTTGCCTTGAGCTGAAGAACTGAGGGACAGTGTTCAGGCCCATGACCGACAAAAAAAAAAAAAAGAAAAAAAAGAATGGATTTATCTTTCTTGTCCTTCCAAAAATTTCCTGTACAAAATGTAATTTACTTTGATTTATGAGTGTATGACTCTACCAATAAGTGGATGTTAACTTTTTGCTTGTCCTTTTTTTAATGAAGTATTTGATCCCAAAGGACATTTGTAGTTTAAAATCCTTGACTCTTGGAATTGGGGAGTTTCAAATGAGAATTTAGAACCAAATCTCAGTTCAAGGTCTTATGGATCGGTGGAATTTATTATTTCTCTCCTATAAAAGAGGTTTCTTTCTGGGAAAGCCACCAAAAGCAGTGTGATGCTTGGCTTCCTCTTAGTTCTGTCTCAGTCTGTTGAGTTCAAATGACTTCTAGGAATAACTAAAACAGAGATAATGGTAAGATTGGCCATTTCTTGGTGAGAATATCCTGTAACAACATTTTCTGATCTTCACAGAAATTAGCAAGGGTCAGTTAGTAGTGCTGTCTCCATTTTACAAAGGAGCTAGCGATCAGCTTGCCAGAGATCACACAGCTAATAGTGGTTAACTCACATCTGTCTGGCTCTAAAGGCCTGTATAAATTTAGGCATGCAAGCCCAGATCTGAGGAGAGCCGTTGGCTCTGCTAAAATTGCTCTTCAGAGATGGTTGTGACTTGATAGTATGATTTTTGTGTGTGTGTGTGTGTGTGTGTGTGTGTGTTGATTTATTTCCTGGTAGAAACTAAGGATGGCACATCACTTGGGTTTAATGACTGATGTTGCTTAGAAAATTGCATTGCTCATTCAGATTTGAAGGTACCAATTTGCAGGATCATCATCTCGCTGAAGCAACTTTCTTTTACCTGTCTATTTTAATAATTCGCACAGTTTAGGAGCCTCATGTATTTGTAATTACTGGCATAGGGCTTCCATTTGCAAATTGCTACAGTTTAGCTCATCACCACTAGCATCCTTTCTAACCTCTTATTTATAATGTCTGACTAGCATGGATTCTCTTGTGGGTATTGGTGATGTCAGGTCTTGAATCTGCTCTTAAGACAGTCTGTAGGTTGTTTATCACCATTAGCCCTCATTATTTTAAATGAGTACCCACCCACTTCATACTCCGTAACCACATGTTTCCAGAGCTTCTCTGGAGATAATATCTTGTAGCCTACCCCCCTACACCTCTCTTAGTGTATTCATAAATGTTTTAAGTGAAGCCCAGAAAAAAGATGAGGGAAAACACCTATAGAGCCAACCTCTTTGAGCATGTGAAATTCAGAAAAAGTTTGAAAACAAATGTTGCTGCTAAACCTGAAGCTTTAAAACAAAATCTTACAGTGTGTTTAGTGTTAGTTTGTAAATATGGAGTCTTATTAATTGTATTTACAGCTCATAGCAAAACTACCTGTTAGATCTTGTTACTCTGAGGGGGAAAAATGAGGTGTGTGTGTGTGTGTGTGTGTGTGTGTGTGTGTGTGTGTGTGTGTGCGTGTGTGTGTGTGTGTGTGAAACTGAAATGTGAAGCATAGTGTGGTATAAATTGTCTTTAATTATGTGTCTGGAAAGGCAGTTAATCAGTTCACTCCAAGACCTTTCTCTGATGAAGCAATTAATCAGATTTTCTGTTACTGTAGTCCTCACCTAAATTCAGGTATGTGAAGCTTAGAAGAAACTGTATGTAGTGCCTCACTTTGTAAAACAATGTATTACTAATTTATTGCCCTTTCTCCCCGCTTCTTATTTGAATGGCTCAAAAACAATGAAATTCTGTGATATTTTACAGAATCACTCTTTATTCATATCAGTTTTTTCCTTTCCTTTTCAGTACAATTTAAAAGTTTCCTTGTATTCTTTTTTTTTTTTTTTAATTGGTCATGGGGGCTTGAACTCTGGGCCTGGGCGCTGTCCCTGAGCTCTTCGGCTCAAGGCTAGCACTCTACTGCTTGAGCCCACAGTGCCACTTCCAGTTTTCTGGTGGTTAATTGGAGATAAGAGTCTCATGGACTTTCCTGCCTGGGCTGGCTTTGAACTGCGGTCCTCAGATCTCAGCCTCCTGAGTAGCTAGGATTACAGGCATGAGCCACCAGTGCTGGCTCCTTGTAGTCTTAAGAATGATTTTATTGGTTGAGGGTAGCATGTTTCAAGCAGGGATGAGCCAGTAATTTTATAAAGGAAATCTGATAGTCTTTTATGTTTTGTACTATGGTAAATGGTTCAGAAATATTCCATGGAACCCATGCGTTTTCTTCAGGAAAAGATTGTCTCTCCATGGAGGTTGGAGGGAGGAAGACTACAAAAAATTTAAAAAAAAAAAAGATGAATCATAGAAGAATCAACCCATTAGCCTAACAGTCATTTTACTAGCTAGCAAACTGTGGCTCAGAATTAAACTCTGGCCATGTGTCAGTGGCTTTTTTTCACCCCTATTTTGGTGCGATTTTCCCAGTATTTTTCCAAAGTGTTTACTACAAAGAGAAGGATCCATTTCTTGTTTCTGGCTATAAAAGAGAGCTAGCTGAAGTAGTATTGGGGTCTGAGTTTGAAAACAAGAAATCCTGGAAAAGTATATTAATAATAAGCAATAGTTACATTTGGCAGCCATTGTTTCCAATGATATAAAGTTTTGGAATGCTGATAGGTCTTGTGTAACTCTAAGAGTTGTTTAAAAGGAGGTTTCTTGCTCTGAGAAACTTATATAAACCTTGATTCCTCAAATGGAAAAGCTATTTATAGTTCTCCTCCATACCCTTCTCTCCGCCCCGCCCCTCCTGTTTTAAGAAAAAGTACATTTCCTGAATTCTACTGATGATGATACCAAGCTCTTTCTTGTGGATGTTATCCTCCTCCCTTTTGAGGGGGGTTGCTGGGGACCAAATCCAGGCCCTCACATACGCTAACAAGCACATGTTCTTAACATGTCTGTCTTCCTGGTCTTAGCCTTGGTAGGAATCAGGGTTTGTTTTATATCTTAACTAGCAGTAGAGAGCATAACAGGATTCAAATAATAATTGGGAAGACTCATAGTCTGCAATTAGGATCATGGGCTTTGGAATTTATATTTCATGTTACTTTACTAATTGTCAGTCTTAGGGGGGAGGGTTGTTATTTTACCAAAATAAGCCTCCGTTTCTCTATTACTAAAGTGAGATTTTAGGAACAGTTTTATACTGCAAGCCTTTGTTTCATTGCATGGCTATTATTCTTGCTGTTTTTGTTCCCCATGCTGTTCTTGTGATTTCCAATCCAAGAAGTTTTCTAGAACTGCCTTGGGGAAAAGCAAGTAAGAAAGGACTTATCGCTGAGGTATTGAAGGTGTCTTCTTGAAAATAGCATTTTACCCAAGTGAATCGATGACAGTAATAGGCTTGTTAGCTGATTTTGGTATGTACTTGATTTCTCACACCAGTTCTTAATATCGAGTCATAGAATTGCTTCATGGGTGGAATTTTCAAGGCTGTTTCTGCAGGAGAGAGACAGAAAAGCTCAGCCACTGAACTTATTCCCAGATTAGAGGAACAGGAAGCTGGGGGACTTGCTTAACTGACCCAGTGCATGTTGGGACCTCCTCTTCCCTTTAAGGCTATGTTAAGGTGTCTGCCACAGTGTTGCTATCAAGTGAAATATGGAAGAGAAAGTCAATTCAAAAGGCAGCTGCCAGGGAAGAGGAGAATGATTAATAAAGTGTTTCTTTAGCTGTTTGAACTAGTTAATTGTGGAGTTATATTGTTGAGTGAGTGCTGCTTTCTGCTGATGCTCTAAGGGAAAACTGGAAATGGACTGCATACCTATCATGTACACACTTGTTTCTAGCCCGCATCTGTTCATAGGCTAAAATTGAAATCCACTTACAACTCTTACCTGGAGGACTTTTATGGGTTTTAAAGAAAACATGACTGGGATAGAATTCAGGCATACTTTTATTGTTCTTGACAGTGAATCTAGAAGCCATCCTCTCCTGTAAAGCTGTTCACTCAATGACTTTGAATGACTAGAACACTGGAAAGCCACACTGCTATCCATTCATTGTAGTCATTTTGAGACACCCACCCCACCCCCTTCCAAGGCTATTTAAAGAAGAGAATTCCAGGATTTAGGTATATTTCTAAATTACAGGACATACTGTGGTAAAAGATGTAGTACTTTTATGTTTTTGAAGCATTCCATTCTGAAACCAAAATTATTGTTAGTCTTATATCTTCTATATATGCTTTTAATTAAAATATCAGCACCTAATTAGTTTTCTGCTTGGTTAAATCCTTTAAGACTGTTGCCATTTAGTTAAAAGTTATTTTTATATGTTTTTTTTATGGTAAAAATACAGTACAGAGGGGTTACAGTTACATGAGTAAGGTAATGTGTACATTTCCTATTGGGCATTGGAGCATTGTTACTTCCTCCTTTGTTTTTCTCCTACCATCCCTTCCCTCCCCACCTCCCCAACTCCTCCTTCCCCCAGGAGTTGTAAAGTTCATTTTCAACATAGTGTTTTGTACCTCTCATTGTTACAGTGGGTCCACCTTTATCCTTATTTCAGCATTTTGTTATTTCCCTTCCCCTCCCCAAATTAGAAAAACGTATATACAAGATGCAGGGCACCCAACATCAAATACAGCGAAAATGGTTTATACCGTGGGGGAAGAACATACAAGAGAAACAAAAAAATCACATAGTACATTTTAAATATGTTAGAAACAATAGCAAGAAAGAAAAAAAAACCCACTGTGTCCCTATCTTGGGGTTCATTTCGCTTAACATCATTTTATCTGGTCATATGTACATAGCTAAAAGTATTCTTAACTTTGTTTTCCAGGGATATTAGTATTATCTGGTCATATGTACATAGCTAAAAGTATTCTTAACTTTGTTTTCCAGGGATATTAGTATGAACAATATTACTCAACTACCAGAAGATGCATTCAAGAATTTTCCTTTTCTAGAAGAGCTGTAAGTATTATTTTGAAAAGGTGTATGTGTTTTCTATACCTATTTCTATACCTATACCTCACTTCCTGTTCAAGAGATTCAAGTATCTTAATAGGTTTAGTGGGCTTTATGCAGAGGAAATCATGTTGGTTTGTTTTTGTTTGTGTATTTTTTTGTGGTGGGGAGAAACAAATGAGATTTTTAGGTAGTGAAATAACAAAAGTTATTTTTAAAAGACACAGCTAAAAAAAACACTACTTCCACAGGACTCTTTTTTTTTGGCAGCCTACATAGCCATGAGTGCTGCTGATGACACAGGTTAATTATAGTGTGATTTTGAGATAACAAGGCTGCTGCATAATTAACATTGTTGTCAGAGGAGTTGCTATATAGGTAACAGAACCATAAAAAAATAACATAGGGTATTCCAGGGTCTGATGCAATAGACAAGTTTGACAGCAGGCTAGCAGCAAGCACAACACTGATAACAGATCTTCTTGGCTATTTGCAGATGACTTTTGGGAATGGGGTAAAGGCATGGGACATCTGCCAGGTCTCTTAACAGCCTCTTTCACTCAAAGAATATTTCTCAACTTACTAGTTTGCACTTCATTTTTTCATTTGAACAGTTTGCACTGGAGAATTGTTGTTTTGTTTTTTAACCTTATTAGAATCTCCCTTTGGCTGTGTTCTCCACATGTGTGTGATGTCCATCAGAACACAATGCCTTTAAGTTTTTAAAGGAACTGAAAACTGCACTTTAAGAATCTTGGTAGAAAAAAAAAACAAAATCAGACTTGACATAAATTAATGTAGGCTTTTAAAAGCACAAGCTAAGTTTGTGGCCGTAGCTAGGTGACTGTTGTATACTAGGAGCACCAAAAACATATAGCCCTAAAGGAATCCCAAGTCAGAGTACAGATTGTGCCATGCACTCCAGCTGCTTGACTGTTGGAGCCAACTCAGTGAATGTCTGTCTCCTGACTTGGCTCTGGCCCTCCCTTAGAACAGAGAGCAGTACTCCAGATACACAGATTGTTCCCCCTGCTTCTGACATAGTATTGAAGAGCATTTAAGGTTTTAATAGAGTTAAGAAGAAATATTTTTTCCCACACTACTTAGTTGAACATAATGCTCTCACAGCCAAAAAGAAAAAGAGCAGAGATTATTTGTCATAAGTCTGTGAACTGGATTAAATTACTTAGCCTTTCTCTGCTTAGTTTCTTTGTCTTGAAGGTGTGGATAATAATAGTCTCTTGCTTAGTGTATTTTGGTGAATACAGAATGAATTACTGTATAGTAAATACTAGCCAGAATATTTTAAAATGTTTTTAATTAAAAATTTAAAATGTACTTTTTTTTGTCAGTCCTGAGGCCTGAACTCTGGGCCTGGGTGCTGTCACTCAGCTCTTCAGCTCAAGGCTAGCGCTCTACCACTTGAGCCACAGCACCACTTCCAGATTTTCTGCTTATGTGGTGCTCAGGAATCGAACCCAGGGCCTCGTGCATGCAAGGCAAACACTCTACCACTGAGCCATCTTCCTAGCCCCTAATGTACATATTTTTAAATATTAGATGTTTGGATAGTGTTGGGTGCAGGTGGCTCATGCCTGTAATTCTAGCTACTCAGGAGGCTGAGATCTGAGTATCTTGGTTGGAAGTCAGCTGGGGCAGGAAAGTCATGAGACTCTTATCTCCAATTAATCACAGGAAAACTGGAAGTGACGCTGCAGCTCTAGTGGTATAGTGCTAGCTAGCCTTGAGGACGAAGAAACTCAGAGATAGCAATCAGGCCTTGAGTTGAAGCACCAGGACTGGCTAAATAAATAAATAATTTTTTGATAGTAACATATTTACTTAAATTGAAAATTTTATATAGTAAATATTTACTAAATATTATCTTTGGGAAAAAGGGGTGTACTATATTTTATTTATGTCTTCTGTACTTTGTTCTATAATGAATATTGACTTGTGCTGACATTATTAATTTGTAGTTAAAATTTTAAATTGTGCTAAAAAGGAGTTATGCATTTGAAGCCTTCACCTTCATTGCCTAATCAAGCATTAAGCTGCTTTGTCTCAGTCTTTTTTTTTTTGCCTTATATAGTTTCAGACTTTAGGATTAGTTTCTCTTTACAGAAGCAATTATACAAAGAAAGGACACCAACAAGTGATTGTTCAGTGATCGTGTAACCCTGGTGATGTATGATGCACTAGTGGAGGAGTGGAGGGGTTCCCTTGTTTCTGGCTGAGGCCATTATGTACAAACTTCCTTTGTTGATGACTGTGATTGTCATTTATACTTTAAGGGATTTTATCCTGGGGACTAGATGTGGAGTCAGACCTATATAATCTCTGCTTTGTGAAGTGTACATCTTGGATTTCTTAAAGTCTCAAATGACCAAGCATATGTCAACCTCACCAGTTCTGCCAACTAAGACTTTTAATTGGAACCAAATTGAATTTGATTGCTGGCTCTTTGTAGCTAGGTCATGTTCTCTCTATTCCAGTATTGCAGTAACAAAGCCCCTCAAATCAAGTTTGGTACACCTACTCCAAACACTGTATGGGATTTCACAAATTCATTTAGCAGAACCAACTGTTCAAAGTAAGCTTGCATATTCTGGCAATAGTTTGGGGGCATGCAAGGGAATTTAATTTCCATTAATACAAATATGGTAAATGCCTGATTTTTTTCTTTAAAGAACAATATAGTCAATTTGACATTCCAAAAAAATGCTGCCATGACTCTTGTAGTATTTCATAAACAGTGTAACCATTTGTCTAGAAGGCATCTGGAAGTCATTTACCAGTGACTGTGGAGCTGAGACCCTTCAGTAGAAATGCATGATTGGCTGAGGGATTTTTTTTTTTGCTTTTTCCATGTGAACGAGGTGTTCTTTACAAGATATGAACGAGTTTGTCCAAATTTGATATAGTGATCTAGGATGCTTAGAGTATTGGGTAGAATAATTTCTCAGCAGTAATAGTAAGTTGAATGGCCAAAGTTGATCAAATGTTGATAGATGTGTGTGTGTGTGTGTGTGTGTGTGTGTGTGTGTGTGTGTGTGTGTGTGATTTCTGGGGCTTGAATTCAGAGCCTGGGCACTGAGCTTCTTTTGTTAAAGACTTGGGCTCTACCATTTGAGCAACATCGTCACTTTTTGCTGTGTATTGGAGATAAGACTCACACAGACTTTTCTGCTTCGGCTGTCTTTGAATTGCAATCCTCAGATCTCAATCCTCCTGAGTAGCTAGGATTACAAGTATGAGTCACCAGCACCCAGCAAAGTTTACAGACTCTTACACATTAACTTGTCTTTTAAGCAAATACACTAGACATCCTATTCCAGGCTGGGTCTTACAGTGAGTGTTAAAGATACGATCTAAGTGTGGTCCTCTCTTCAGAGCTGTTCTGCCTACTAGCATAACCACTACCCTCAAGTGGCTATTTACTTTAAAACTAATGAACTAAGAAAATTGAACATTGTAGTTTCTTTTTTTTTAATTTTATTTGTGAAGATACTACATTGTAGTTTCTTAGATGAACTGGCCATATTATACAGATCTTTTGATCAATTGGTTGATTTAGTAGTGCTGGAGATTGAGCACAGGGCTTGAACAAGCTAGCTAAGAGCTCTATCTCTAGGCCACATCCCAATTCTGTACTATTTCCAGTGCTCAGTACTTACCTGTAGTGAGTAACTCATGCATTAATCCAGACATAGATCATTCTCATCATTGAAGAAAGCTGTTTAGGACCAAGTTAGGGGACAAAGTGGAACTAACATATGCATTGTGGTGAAGGGTTGTGTATAGATCAGTAGAGGCCTAAAGCACTACATGTACTTTAGGTTATAAATGGAGAATCACTTCCCCTGAGACATGCCGGACATATAGGAATTTTCCAGGTGAGGGTAGGCAGGAATGAAGCCCCAGGAAGAATTCATAGCATGTGTGAAGGCATAAAGAATATATTTCCTAAGTATCAGGACACATGAAGTAGCTTGTTATGACATGGACTAAGGGATAAATCTAGAGAAATGTCAAGAGAGGAGGTGAGATCATGAAAAGGTCTTAAAGAGGAAAAATTGAAACTCTGAAAGAGTTTAATTTCACAGTAGAGTAATAAATAGGAGACTAAGATTTTTGCCTTCTGTGTCTAGGTGCCATTTACTGAGACACTTAAGAAAATAAATACTAAGAGCTGGTCTGTTTGGGGCCTAAATAATTTAATTTTTGTATACATATGATCCTCAGTAGAATCTGCATAAAGCCTGATGATATATATCAGTCTGTTCTCATAACTATAAGAGTAGCCTACTTTACAAAGGTAGAAGTTGAGCTGAAGAAGTTCAGGGTCTTGTTCAGGTTCAAATGCTGGGCATTTTATTTTCCTGGGTCTTGAAGTCAGGTTTTCAGAACCTTATTCTTCGTGAAAAAGTTGAGGAATGTGTATTTATTCTCAGGGAAATGTCTGATCTACCTTTTTCAATATACATGAGATACATTAGAAACTATTGGTGTCAATCATTTTATTTTCACACTTGGCCTACTTTTGAATGTTTTATAGCTCATAAACATGCTAACCAGTGAGGCCCCCTTCCTTCTTTTCTCTGGGAATATAAAAACCTAGGTTCTGGCTCTAAAGCGAATACATCTGAGGTTCTAAAACTAAAATCTTGGGACAGTCTCTTGATTTTTGCACTTCTCTTTAAAATGAGATTCTTCACAGAACTACTATAAATGAAATATTGGATATTTGATCAAAGGTACTTTGTATTCAGAAAGGGCTCTATCCATATGAGGTAAGGTAATTCCACTAATGGTTGTAAACATGATTGTCTTTCTTTTTCTTGAAATTCCTGGAGGAGATGTGGTTTTACTTGGGAAAAGAGTTGGAGTAGGCCAATGTAAATGTCTGTTAGCCATGTTAAAAAAAAAGCCAGAAATTTTGGAAAAACTTTTATTTAGCAGGGACAGAATCTGTTACAGGATGCAACATGGCCACAAATGCTTTT